CCAGAGTTGCGATGACATTCCAATGTCCCAGCCTTTGGGCAGCCATGCTCAGATGTCGTACCTTGTTCCTACTAAACGTTTCTGTGAGGGCTTGGGGATAGGGTTCAGCTTTTTATGGGGCGCTGGCAGATGACACAGTAGCCGCGCAGACATGTTTGGCAAGCCCTGAAGAAATGATGATGCATTCAGGACGTTTGCAGAACATGCTAAACAGATGATGATTGAATTCAGGACGTTTGTAGAACAGGCTAAACAAATGATGATTTAATGATGCCAGGAATGTACCCAAAAATGAAGATTAAATGACCAAAGAATTATTTTCTGGTTTTCCAGTGTGTAGCTCCCCAAGAATCTCTAAATTCTACAACAGACGAAAACAGGGAGAGGGAGGGGAAGAGGAGCAGGAGCGGAACAGGAGAGGGAGGCGGGAGAGGGGGTGGAGAGGGGGGCCACCCGCCAGAAGTGTTGGAGGACGTGCCGGATGCATACCCGGCGTCGTCACTGCTAATAAGGGTTGCCAGTAATAGCTCCATGATATAGGGGCCTTGATTATTGGATTAGATTCGGCTTCGGGGTGTAGTATAACTTCACTACATGACGGAACTTTAAAGAAAATTATCGATTTTATTTGGGCCCCATGGTATGGGCTACACCTTACTTGGCCTTTCGCAGGATACCCCTACTGAGAGCATGCTGTTTACATCTTTTGAGCCTTAAGGTAGTGTAAGAACAGCCTTTAACGCGAAGCCCATTTCCCACAAATGAACCCGGAATCATCCAGTCCCGAAACCGTTTACGGCTCATAGGGTTTAGGGTTTAGAGCTTGTGAGTGCAAACGGAAGCTCACATCGGACAAGCACTTGCAAGATTGCCCATTTTAACGATTAGCTAGGGTTCCAAGAACAGGGTGCCATTCACTAACTTTGATGAAGGGTGGTTCTGGGTAACAGTAACACATGACGTTTGTTCTCATGCAACAGTTGCTCTTGGAGTACAACACAGGGTGTAGCATGTACACCATAAGCCATACGCTCTAAACCCTTCTGTGTTGAAAATTCTCTTGGCCTGTGAAAGCTGGCCGAACGGTGAGACGCTGAACCGTGGAAAGCCCGACGTAAAGCCGCGCAACCAGAAGCTCCTAAGACGAAGTCCTAAACCCCGATACACGCGCCTGGACAAGCAATGATTTTCTTCTGCAGGATGCCTTGCAAAAGAACAACACCACCCGAAACCCCAGGCCCTTCATGCAGTACGTCCCATGCCACTTCAGGCAGCTTTTTCTTCAATCCTCAGGCCACACCTTAAACGCTAAGCCTTGAAGCCCAAGGCCTGAAATGTTAAACCTTGAACCTTAACACCGTAAAACTTAAACCTCGGCCCCGTATGTGTGGGCGAGGTCAAGTGCTGTGCAGACCGAGACCTTGTCATGTCACTTCGCAGCATGTGGAGATTCTTTCGGATTCTTTTGAATAGGTAGTCCCTTTATTCAGCTTTCGGCTTTTAGGGTTGAGGCTTTTGTATTTTGTATTGTTTTGGTGCTTCAGGCATTTCTTTTGCTTTTTCCGCTGCAGGTTTTAGTGACTTTAGTGTGGAGGAGGTTAATCAGGTTTAGGTTTAGTGGGGGCTGCATTGTAGGGTGTAAGTGCAGGAAGCTCGCTGGTGTAAAGAGCACCCTCGGCTCCTTTAGAGGTCGAGGCCTGAGATGTCAGTGTTTCGGGTCTGGGTTGTCTTCCCAACTGTGAAGCCCGAGCCGTCAACATGCAAGCCCAAACTCTGCAGACCTAGATCCCTATACCCTGAATCTAGTCCTAATGAGCCTGTTTGGGGTTCTCCCAATTCAGTTCTAGCGTGCTCTAACCCTATAATGGGTCCCCTGGGACGCCGAGGTAAGGATATCCTATTAAAGAGCTTGTGCTAGTTTAGACCCGAGGCCCTTAGCCCAAGTCTGCGGCTGGAAGAGAGGGGCTTTCCTTCAAGTACAGTCCATACACAACTGGTATTTTGCAATATACACCCCCCGCACTTTCTTCTAATTATCAAGGCATATAGCCTGCCCGTTTAGCTTTAAATGTCTTAAGACCACTGGCTTGAACAGAAGTCGTTTATTATAACATATTAGTGTCATAATCATTATTTGCATTACCACTATCATTCGTGATAAACTATTTGTAGTAGTATGATTGCTGACCATTTCCAAGGCCAGTGGCTGGGATGCCTCTGGAAGCGCAGGCGCCGATGTGGAAATGCACAGATTGGGACCCCAAAGTTAGCTCCGATGGTTGTTACGTCGCACACTTCCACAGACTGTAGGACTTTGGGTTTTCGGTGTTGTTAGGGGCTTTGCAGTTTAAGGGTACGGCTTTCTGATCGGACTGCAGTAGTAGCAGCTGTATGGCTTAGGGGTGCTTGGGGTTGCTTAGGGTTGGCGGTGTGAAGCTCCATTACACTACCCTGTAGTAAGCTAAGTCTCCTCAGACTCTCAGTGCAAGTTAAACCCTAACGCCTAAACCCTAAAGCCTAAGGCCTAAGGCCTAAGGCCTAAACCCTAAAGAACCGTCAAACTCCCTAATGCCTGTGGAGGCCACCGATGCAGGCGATCACGGAGCCCTGACTCAAGAAGAGACCCGGGGCGATTTGCTTTAAAGCCCAACCTTGGCGACCAAATGGCCCCCTGATACTATGAATCCCTATACGGTATATGAACCTGAAAACCTTTTGGGGTTCATGTCGTCCTCAAGGAAGGTTTAGGGTTTTGGGATCAGGCCTTGTAGGCCCCTTAGGGTGTTTAGATGTTTTTTGGGGGCCAAGTCGTGCGTGCTGGTTGAGCCCTCCAAGGGTACATCTTGCAGCCAGGAGGTTTCGAGGTCGCCCGGTAGTGCATTCATACCCTCATTAAGTAAAAAGGGGCAGAAGGAACCGCGTGTTTAAGAAAATTAAATTTGGCTCTTTTTCGTATCGGCGGCGGTGTGTTCTCAAGTTCTAAGAGGACAAGTGCTTGTGTTTCTGTTTAAAAGAAAAGCAATCATGTTCTCGTTCACTTCATCAAATTTCATTTCATTTAATAGGACCACAAGCATGGGACACACCAGAGAAACTATGAAATGTTGGAAATCACAAGGCACCTAATATGTAAAACTAAAGGTTGAGTCCAGCACCAGTCTCTAGGCAAAAGGTCAAATTAAGAGAATGAAACGATAGTAAGGAATGCACGCTTTTCTCTTTACATTTCATTTGACTTAGAGTTTGTGCCTTTGACATTTCTTTCGTTTCGTGTGTGTGTGTGTGTGCGCGTGTGTGTGTGTGTGTGTGTGTGTGTGTGTGTGTGGTGTGTGTGTGTGCGTGCGCATGTGCATGTGCGTGTTCAATTTAATGATAGAAAGCCGTGCGTTTCACTTACGCTTTTTTATAAATCAAATTGAACACAGCACACCACACTGTAAGTTTCCTTAAATAGCAGAACAGTGGACGGTGAAAGGAAAGAAGAAAAGTGAAGCGAAGAACGAGTGCAGTTTTTACTATTTCTCCAGTCTGCATGCTAGGAACCGGATCCCCCGAGTCTTAACGGTTTGCGAGGGTGTACTTAGCGAATCCGGGAGCTTTTAGTAGATTTAACTCATCTTGATTCGGAGTGTTTGGGGACACACGTACCTTGTAATCGGGGTTCTGATTGGGGTTGCCCTAAGTAAATCAACAGCATAAGATAGCTTCCCTATATCGTTAATATACTCCCAAATCTCAGAGCCCTCAGCTCTTCCAATGCAAGGACTGTTCCACCAATTCTCGGGGAGTACGTTGACGGCCATGGCAGTGGCAGCTCAGTCGTGCACGCTGTCGTTGTTCTTGTTCTTGGTCTTGTTCTTATTATTCTTATTATTGTTATAGTTGTTATTATTCTTCTTCTTGTGGTTTTCGTTTTTGTTGTCGTTGTCGTTGTCGCTGATGTGAAGTCGTTTCTGTTGCTGCTGTCGTCGACGTCGTCGTCTTCGTTGTTGTTGTTGCTGCTGCTTTTGCTGTTGTTCCTGCTGGTGGTGCTGTTTGTTGCTGCTGTTGTGCTGATGACTGGTTGTAGTGTCGGCAGACTGACGTGCCATGGTTATGTGCTGCACATTCAGTTTGGTGGTCGTTCGTCAGTTTCTCCGAAACCATCATTATAGTCCTGCTTTGAAGAACCCAGAGCACTAGGCTTCACGTACAGCTGCATCTCGGAGCAGAAAACGCGAAAAACACACTTTGCGTTAAAGACACGGCAGCAGGACCCCAAATTTGTTTTGGGTGTTGCGTTTGGCTGGCAATGTGACGAAATTTCGCTTGCCAAGGACAGTCCACGCCGATTCGTGTTCATCGCTACGGGGCAGGAGGTGTGTCAAGCTGTCCTTGGTTCTACCGAGCTTGTCTGCGGAGTGCCGAAAGGGGTTGTGTTTTGAGCTTGGCAAAGTGGATTGCGAGACCAGGGTGTACCGCCTGGTTAGCTCGGATTTCTGCAAAAGCAGGCACGCTCTTTTTCATTTGACGAAGGACAGAGACTGAGACTAGGGTTTGGGGTTCAGGGATTTAGGTTTGCAGGGTTTTACTTTCTCAGTTCAGTGTAGACCCTAATTCCTCATGCTAGGCCCGCGAAGCCCCTCCAAGCTGCACCCCAGCAGTGTAACAGGACAAGCACATGTGTTGCTCGAAAGCCCCTGTACACCCCAAGCTGAGACACAACTGCCCCAAGGCAGGCCCCACACCAAAATCAAGCAGAACTGGTGGAGGTCGTGGCGCTTTCCTTGGGCTCTGCGCGAGACATCGCAGCTGGCTTGTTGGGAGTTGAGGACGAACTTGGGTTTATGTGGGGTTCAGCGCAGGGCTGTTTACTTGGGATTGAGAGGTTCAGTTAATCCACCCAACAGAGCAATTTGACAGCACGTTGATGCTCAGTAGTGGGTGCAGGGCTTCAGATCCAGATTCGAGTTTCCAAGGTTTTGGGTTTGTTTTGAGGGTTGGACCCAGCCCCTTAACTGTAGCCTACGTTTCTACTCTTGACGACTATAGAGTGTACTCGGGGGTTGGGTTTGAAGGCCTTTCATTTGGAGTAAGCATGTTGCTTTCCTTCTGCTACAGGAGACCGTTTCATGGGACAGGGTCTGGATTTGAGCCCCTACCCTACTGCACCACGATACTTCCACGCTCCTGGAGGCTCAAAAGACGGAAACTTTCAAACCAGATGGCCTTCGCCATTCGGGCCATCTGGGGCTCTTTGGCCTCTTCGGGAGGCACCTGCCGAACGCTTGCCGAATGTCAGCCCATCCTAAACTCTATAACCCCTAAACCCTAATCCCTACCAAAACCCTAATCCCTAATCCCTAGCTAAACCCGAATCCCTAAACCTCTTTATCATATGGGCTGCGTTCTAAATTCGCGTGTGGGTAGAGTTAATTACATTGACATTAATGCATTGACGGGGTAGCTCTTTATGAGGCGGCACGCAAGTAGAGCCACTTATGGCCGAAGGAGGCGCTAGGAAAACCGCTAGATTCGCGCTAGGCATGATTCGAACCGCATGATGTCGCATGCTCAAGCTGAAGCTGTCTTTTATATCGCATACCTTAATCCTCAAGGCACAACCGCATTAGAGTAGCTGAACAGCACTCGTTGTTATCGTAACGGGAGTAATTGTAGGTGTCTTTAGGAGGTCTCTGCCGCGCTGCCTTTGTGCCTCCTGATTGGAGCTTGCAGCGAGGTCATTTTTGGGCATTTGTAAGAGAGGCCAGCGCGCTAGATCCGCGCTAGCTGGGCGCTAGCAAAAACTCAACGCAACCTGCCTTAGAAGGCCCTGGCCCATGTCAGCACAAGCTATATTGTACATATTATGTATATTTAAACTTTGATACAGTTCGTCGTTTTAAGCAAATTTTGAGGCAAAGTTTGAGGCAAATTTGAAGGCAAATTTCGGGCTGTAGCCTTCTAACATTCCATCTTTTACCCCACCCCCTCCGCAAAGGTTGAAAGTTAATCTTCGAGTTCCCCCCCCTCCCCACCCCCAACCAAACGCCGTGAAAGGTAAAAGGTCCTTTTTCACCTTTCCGGCCCCCAGCGACCCGCTATGAAAGATGAAATTCCATCGTTCACCCCCTTCGACGCCCGGACCCAAACCTTCGAAATCTATCCGTGCAAACAAAAATTAAAATCAGAAATGTGGGGGTGAGTGGGCCAATTGGTGGGCGAACGGGAAAGCGGCGGGTGTCAGCTAGCGTTGGTCAGGTCAGTAGTTCAGTAGCAACTAGAGCGGCAGCGGGTCAGAGTCTCCATGCAGGTACTGCAGTTGGAGCAGCAGCTACAGATGCGGCCACAGCGGGACTGGGGAAAGATCGCCACCCAACAACATTTCAAAGCATTCACGGGACTGTGGCGGGAGCGCGATTCATGAATCCAAGGCTTACAGTGAATCCGGCATACCCGGAGGATGTAGCCGCAGCGGGACCGCGGAAACATCGCGCGATCCACCCTATAACACTCCAACTTGTGCATGGGACTGGGAGCGCGATTCAACGGCCACGACAGCAGCGGGGCGAGAGTATGCACAGGACTGTGACGGGAGCGCGATTCATGACGTAAACACTCTCCGAGGACCGTCATGGGTTGTGTCACTGTGTACTGTTGACAGGTACCGATCCGGCAGCAAA